CCCCCCATCCCAGCAAATTAAAAAGCCCAAATACACAAAATCTCTTCAGACCAGAGCAGAATGTGTTCTGACATTTAAGAGTTTTTTGGGTTTTGTAATCCTTTTAAAAAATGCTTTTCAAAACATTTTAGCTTGTCATGTAGAGAAATGAAAGCACTTCATTTAGAAACAGCAAAATAAAACATGCTGGTTGTTTCCATACTATTTTTACCTTCTTTTCCCCTTTTCTGTTTAAACAATTCAGTAGAAATAACAATAACAGAGCTGAATTACAATGAACCACATTTTCATGTTTTGGTAAAGAAAATTGTGATCATAGATGCTACTCACTTCTGTCCGAAATTACATGTATTTTCAAAAATGCCACATGACAATGTTATTTTAGATGATGATTCGATGACTTAAAGTTTTCATTTTTTATCTCCTTTAATGAAATATAGATATGTATCAGAATTCAGAAGTTTTCAATCCACAATCTTTTTTTTTCTAAAGCATTGAACATGAAAGGGAAGGGAAGTAAATGCAAGTAAAAGGTTTCAAGTGCCATGGAGGACTGTTGAGGACTATCGCAGTTGCTCAGTGTAATGCTGTGTTGATGTTTCATGTCAATGGGAGATACCAAAAGGCACTAATTTTCTCTAGATCTGAGGTTTATGCTTTCTTATCCCTACAATCATAAGGTAAGAAACATCAGAGAAAAAGAAGCGAGCTGGGTTTGCCAGGATTTTGATGAGTCCTGCCAGTGTTTGGCCTCAGCCATCCAACTATATTCTCAGTTCAGAGCTCGCTGCAATCCCTTTCATGGCATGAAAACAACTTTGACCTCAATCCACTGGAAGTCATTTTCTCTCAAGTGATTGTGGTGCAACCTCTGGATTCTGCAACGTCTGAGCAAATTTTGTCCCAAGACCCTCCATCTCTGGTACCTAATGACTGAACAGCTGTGCTCAAAACCACCCTGTGCTACCGTGTGTCCTGTGACACACCACCAAGTCCTAGATATTTGCTGTCTGTGCCCTTGAGTTGTAGGGCTCAAGTGAAACTATCATGATGCAAAATCTGAACTTTGGTGTACCTTGGTTTAATGGCACTGAAAGAAAATGAGCAAACAAACCAACCAACTGCATGTAGGCTCTCCTGGGACTTCCTTCTGTCTAAGTAAACATATACAATGTATTTTGCAGACAAAAAATACTATCGCTTGAAACAAGGGCTATTGTATTCAAAATTATATTCCTGGTATGAGCATCAAATAAATTTTGAATTTTATTTCAAGTTTTAAAAACTCTGTTTCAAAAGAAACAGATCTGTGTGATCAAAAAGTAGGATTTGTTCTGTATTTGAAGAAGAGTCTGGAAGGATCTAGGGTAAAGTAAAATATCTGAGTAGACTTCTCTTTTCTGCTTAAGATGATCGAAGACATGCAAAATTATATTGTCAAATTCAAATTATCCAAGATTAATTCAAAAGAAATCAAATGCTGAATATCTGCAAGACTGCCAAAAGTTAGACTACCTTGTCTAAATCAATTACTTCAGAATAACCATCTGCTGATAGCCTATGCACTGTAACGCACCCTTTTGAAATCTTACTACTCCAGTGAGAGAAAAAAGAAAATAAAGCAAGCAGAAGAAATCCCAGGGGACTGTAGCTTCAGGAGGCGAAAAATTGGTGTTTTTTGCTTGCCTGTCTCTTCCCAGTTTCCTGCCCCCTTCAGCGTATGAGAAAGACAAGAAGAGTTCGTGCACTTTGGAAACTCGATAGGAGGCAGCAGCTGATCTTCCCATCACCAGCCTAAAAATAATCCACTCCAGGGCTTGAAGCGGCTTCACTAAGTGGAGGAAAATCCTGCCATCGGGATGATATTGATCACATAGCACAACCGAGTGACAATTTGGGTTGGTATTTTGGTTTTGTGTTTAAAAAGGTAAGCTACAGAGTTTGATCTAACATTCAGCAACCAAACGGGGCATGTGATGACCCTCCCCCATTATCTCCCCCTAACCACCTCCTCCTCCTTCCCTTTATATCTGTGGGACAGAGCTGCTCCTTGTTCTTTCCTGGGATTACAACTCCAATCTCTTTTTCCTTTTCCTTTTCCATTCGCAGGCATTCTCAGCCTTTACCGTCCCCTCCTGCTGATGTTTTCTTTGCTGCTGTTCACAGGGTTATGTTTCTTTTTTTAAACTGTCCTGTCTTGGCATGTGAAGTCGAAGGTTTTACAGCAGGCAGTATAGCATGCTGATGTTGGAAATAGCATTGTGTTAAGAAGTTTACCATAAAAGAAAAAAGCAATGTATTAGATGTGTGAGATCACTGCAGATGTTTGTGTGAAATGCTTTTCAGTGCCAATAGCCTGTTTAGCACCAATGCTGTTGTCATTTTTTTGTTAGTTGGAGCCTGATCCAAAAACCTACTGAAGTCAATGAGATTCTTTGCCCTGATTTCAGTAATATTTGGATCGGACTGCTGGCATATGCCAGTTAGTGATGTGAATGCTGACAAGTATCAGAGGTAATTCATCACCTTAAGGCCCAAGGTAACTGGGACAGTACTTAGCAAGAAAGAGAGGTCTATTTAGAAGAGGTGTCACAGCTGAAATAGGAATAAAAAGGAAAATGAATTTGTACAGGATTATTTTTGATAAAATAGATTTTAAAGGGGCAGCACTTTTTGCCATGACCTTAATAGAACTCTTTGCAAATAATGCGTGGACTAAAGAGCACATAGATTTCTTTTAGGAAGGTAAGAAGAACAATCTGGTAGGTTTATACCTAGAAAGGAAAAAGATTCAGAGCACTCACCTGAAATCTGTGGCAAAACTCAGAGTTAGGACTTCCATTGTGCTTATCCAAAGCTATAAGTTCATAATTTGTCCTTAATTTAGAATTTTCTCTCTGAAATTCAAGAAGAAAGGACAAATTCTTGCTTTTGTAATGACTTAATTATTCAGAAGATATGAACTACCTGCTTTTGTAAAACTCTGAGTACTTTCTCCATCCTGCATCTGTATGCCAACATATATCTATCTATTTATGTGTATATATATACATGTATGTATACATATATGAGTATATAATGCATGTTATATGTAAGATCAGAAAAAAAAATCTTAACTGAGACCCAAGTATGCTCTGTAAGATAATACATTTTAATTAGAAAGTGCAGCTATTCATTTATATATTTTTAAAAATAGGCAACAGAACTCCTGAAATAAATGTTTATCAAAATATTCTTATTTCCCCCCAACAAAGTCCACCTGAGGAGTGTAATTATACTCTTTTCTTTATAGTCATAAGTATCTTGTAGAGCATGACGAAAAAAGTGATAATCCAGGTAAAATGAGATTCTTGAATATGAAGACTTTTAAGTCCACTTACAAAGACCTTAAGGTAATTAAAATGTCTTTAAATAGAAATCTTACAATTTTGCACTCAGTGGGGATGTTCCCATAATTTTCCCACTGTCTTCTTCACAGTTACTTATGGAAAATATATCTCAGGAACTTGCTTAGTGCCCTGAGAATCTCCATTTATGCTTGTTAAAATGAGATTTCTAAGTGTTTAGGTTCAATGCTACATCATATTAATGTTTACAACTTTGTCCTGTCATTTTTCTTCCCAAAAGCTTTTTCTTCTTCTTAGTGGATATTTATTCCTGATTCTCTTTGGTACTGTTTTGTGTTTATTATATTATGACTATGTCTGTATACCTTAGCCCAAAACCAGAAAGTCTGAATTTGCCAGTGATGGGGATTTTAGCATGAAAATTTAAATACTTAAAACATGGTTTTTTAGCTGTTTCATTGCAGGGTGAACCACTGTTCAGATAGTTCACATCCTCATTAAAGTAAATCATCAGGGAATCAGATTTTTAAATCATGTAAAGGAGAGCTGAAACTTGCCTTCCACTGGCACTATCATGTGCCTGCCATCCTGATTGTTCTTTCCCTTCCCCTCCTCTGTGAAGTTTTGCTCATGGCTTTAGCTTGTAACTGATTTCTCAGCAAAGGCCATTTTCAAAGGGAGAAAGAAAAAACACCTCTGAAAATTTCTGACCAGTTCTACAGTTTATTAAAGACTCAGGTGAGGAATTTGTCACTAACTTTGAAGGTCAAAGGCCCTCCAGCTACAAATGTTAAAATAAAAAATGTCCTGGTTATTTGACACTCCTATTGGGGTGCTGAATATAGTGAGTACCCTTAGAGAGCATGTGCTTGTTATTGGATGGATGTTTTTTTATCACATCACTGGATTTCCCCTGACTGAAATGCTGTTAAATCTAGTATGCTTGGCAACATTAGTATCAAGTATAACATTCCTGCTATGATTAGTAGTGAAACATGTTTTGTGATGTACTCCCTTTGGTGTAATCACCCCAGCATAATTTGGTGGCCTACTATATTTAACAGAAAGCAAAATTTTCTCTGGGAAATAAATTTTTTTAACGACTATGAATAACGTTGTCTTCTTACATGAGTATATGAGGATCTCAACAGTTATTCTGAAAGACTGATACAACCTGATGAGAAACGGTGGTCAATAACTTCAGATGATCAACTTTCAAAACAACTTGCTACCCTTTCATGTGTTGTCTCCTCAATATTTTTGTTTGGGTTATGCTTTTTATTGTTTTAATGCTGCAGTCGGACTGCTCCCATATTTTGCAGACATTGCTGTTCACTAGACAAAGATAG